CAGCGTAGTTGTCATTAAATAATTAAAAGTTTAATCAACTTGAGTATTCTTCTATAGATTAACATAGGTATTTCTAGATTTCACGTATTCAGCAACTATATCGTGAACAGCATCGTAATCCTCCTAAAAATACAACGGAAACAACGAATTTATACAAGCAGTGTACACAATCCCACTTAAATCATAAATTTTACTTAATATGATTCAAACTTACTTAAAACCTAATTCTGGCTGGCTGTCAGTCAAAATATCACGTGATTGTAAAATCCTCTAACCATTAAGTGAGCAACTTAATAGAAAATTGAAGTTGATGCTCATTGCATGAAAATGTGTGTGAGGTTCTAATATTGAATTAGGAAAGCAGAACAATCTTACCTGAGAATTGATAACTTTTCCAATTTGACGATGCATTTTTCGTACAGCTTTGAATATTTCTACCTCATTGTCCATCCTTATTCGCTGTACAATGTTGTGTAGAGTACAAAATATTCGAGAATATTGCGAATCGCTGAAACAATATTCTGGATAGTAAGCATCCACATTTTTAAAATTCAATTTGATTCTAACGTTGAAAACAACTACGGTTCAAATATCTGACCTCCATAATATTCAACCCTAAGTATATTAAGTTCAATTTCCTAATGAACAACAGAGAGACGACAAGAGGTTTATAGATAATCAGCGTATTAAGAGACATTACAATTTAAACGTCGAAATACAACACAAACAATGCATATTATGGAAATTTGAAGTACAAGGCAATGCACGGCAACCCAATATTATGTTATTCTCAGCATTAAATATGGATTTGGTTCATTATTAAGGACAAATATAATATTTTACTATGAAATGGTAAGGTTTTCCTCTGATTTGTTTTCTATCACAAATTTTCCACGAGTTTCCTCAGATCCTATAACTAGACAGACTACTTCCGAATTCTTAAAAAAAAGATAATTTATTTTTGCTCTATATGATCAACAAAAGCCGTGAAATGGATAGTTTCTAACTTTTTGTGTCAACTTTAGTTAGGAAATATTACTGAACACATGTCAACAGCAGGAGATGGCTTTTCAAAGGATAATAAATAATAATCTTACCGTATTGTCTAGTATAAATATTGCTACTTTGGCATCTGTTTGAAATATTCCTTTCCAGATATCGTTTGGTTCTACATTCCGTAGTTCTTCGAAATAAATTCCAAATTTTTGAGTATGTGACTGCAAATGAAAGAGTATTTCGAAGCTAAACGTTTTGTAGAGTTGTAATGTATTGATCCAGGCGAGTCATACCATTAGGTTACTCAATATAAAACAAAAGGCTCCCTCTGTTTGGAAACGAGAATGGTATTTTTATAATAATAGATCAATTTCCCTTCAAAAAAATTGGAAAAAAACCAGTGCCGTGTTGAATTTATCTAAACTTACCGGGAATCTGTGAATTTGCGTACTGTCGCTCACAATAAGCTTATTGTTGGTGGTTTCTTCTGAAATTAAGATTCAAATTTTTTCTAAAAGGAATCTTGCACAGGCTTCACAAACTTGCATCAACTCAAATGTATAGATGAGTGTATGTGTGGTGCAAAACTTAAATAAGTTTCACGTCCTACTGTTCTGTTACAGTTTTGGCTAGTTCAGGTAGGCAGCGCTAGGTAGAGACCAATGAAGGATATCCATTCTTCTTAATTTTTCAATGGACAAGGAAAGTTCTTGAACAGAGCCTGTACCATTATGGGTCGCAGTTTTTATCCCAATCAGACTAGAAACTGCAATGTTGACTATGGACTTAATCTACTATTTTGTCCCGTAATTTTTATCCGAGGATGCTGACTTGGTGTAATAACTATACCAGACACCAACGTAACAAAAAACACTATTTATTTTGTAAAGTGATACTACGTCTTAGAATACACTCGTCCTGTGGCTAATATTTGTGTTTAATAGTGACCATTGGTTAAATAAGTATGCATCCCACACTTTATCAAGTTTGAAAAATCGACAATAAAACTATAATCAGAATTTAAAAAAAAAAGTGAGCAAGCGACAAGTCCGTTCAGTTTGAGAAAAAAGAGTCTGGGTAATCAACGCTAAAACAGGAAACAATCATCTTTCGGTGTATACAAACAAACTTTGCCAATGATTAATATTCGTTGAAAATTGTGTCAGTGGTGGAGTGTTTATTCTAAATTAAATGAATTGCTTTTTCGCAGAGTCGCTTAATCTCCTACGAGGCATCATTATTCCGTCTTCAAAATATGACAATGTCGAGGTCAATTCAAGAGTAGAGGTCAAGAACGCGGGAAACCCCACTTGAGAGTTACTTCCCCTTGAAAATTACACCGGATTTCCTAGACTCACGATTTGAAAATTGCTTAATAGATGTATTAAGCGTTTTATAATTAATTACTTGATTTTGTGGATATATCGGATTATAGAGGGATTTTGATGTATAGTTAGGACACTAGGTGAGTCCACTGATGGATATATACTGTTATTGGCCAAATTTGAGCAAAATTATAATTTTATGTTCATCCTAAGACGTAGTATCCCTTTAAACGTTTTACCTGCAATTTTTTCCCACCCTGTTGAGATACGAGAATTGTTGTGTAAGTGATATATTCCCCATTCTTATTTTTGAAGCGTGCTTGTCGTATTCAGATTCGTAAATATGTTTAAACATAGCAGTGTCTCCTCGTTTAATTCCTTCTATCAAAGCTTCATGTACAAATTGTAGTTGAGACTGAAAATAGATATGAATTACAATCATAAAATGATCAAAAGAAGTTGAGGGGTCGAGTCAAAAAGATTATGGAAGATTAGAAAACTGTTTTACAAAAACGAGTAGTACGAGCTACATTTCGGTCAAATAGTTTTTGTTATTCATTGCAATTCACAGATAATAAATTTGATTGCAATTTCGTCATGACGAATTTGATTATTACTTTTTACCACAAAACTTACTGGAGTTTGGATCATTCCTTTTCTCTGTTGACGAAGAGTTTTAACACATTCTAATACATCCACCTTACCAGTATCATTGTATTGTTTTAAACAGTAGTCCATGGCTATGTATGTACCAGTTCTACCAATACCAGCACTGAAGCGGATATAGACCTAGTGTTAGGGACTCACCTGTATCCAATCATCAGCAATCCACCTACCCGAAAGTAACACATTGAAAGATTCTTCTTGCTTAAATCAATTATAACCTTATTCCGAATGATACAGCCTTTAACATATTTAAGAATTCGGCATTTTAACAATATATATCGGGTAAAATATAGGTTGGTAAAACACCCCAGAGGACGCAGCAATATATACTAATGCCAACTCGATATAACAATGAAAACATAAAATATCCGTAAACTCACATACAATGAACTAATACGGGACTTTTAGATTCTGGTTTAAATTTATTTACTGTAAACTGGAAATCTAACATGTCATTTGTCTTGGGCACACCATGATCTGGCCAACTGATGTAATGGAAGTGATAAAACTTGTGGATCGCCCCATCCTACAAAAAAGACGTTAGGAAAACTTCTAAAATTTCAAACTAAAGGCACCACAATGCTGTCTGCTTATTCCTAAATGATATTTCCAAGGGTTGGTACGTCGGTAGTACATAAGACAGTCAATGCAACCCTTCCGTGAAATCAGAGTAATTTTTGACATCTGAATCACAGGATATGAAACATTTCTTATAAATTAATTTTCTCTCAAGGCATTACATGCTCTCTGGGCATCAATCTCAGTCTTGGTTTTCATACTACCTACCCTTTCCATGATAATATGTCGTTTAGTATAATTTTCTCGGTATATCTCCTCCTCCAATATAAGTTTGATTACACCAAACGTCTCGGAGGATCCTACTTCAGGAGGCCAGTATTGTTCACATTTTCTCTGAAAAATGGTAAAATAATCAGGATCTTACACAATAAATCATTTGTCTGACTAATAGTAGGTTAAACAAATATTACAAACTTGACGGGGCCGTGAACAGAAATCCCTTACTCCTCCATACTTAGTCTTGTTTACTTCCTTCCTGATTGATCCTTGGTGACTACTGTACTCATGTGAATTGGTATTTTTAACGTGTGGAAATTGACTTACGAATACATATTTTATTATGCTTATGTCGGTTTGTTTCATGAAATTGACTCAATATAATGCACGAAGAAAAAGGAACTCGCCGAGCGCGCTTAAAGCATACACACGACGATTTACACTTCAACAATATTTTGCACCGTTACCTTTCCACCTTCGAATTCTCTGGTAACCATGACAACTTTATCACATTTCATATCCCATATCATTCTTACGAAATCATTCCGAGTCACCCGTGTTGCGCCTGTATAGAATAACGAAGTGTGTTAAATAACAACAGACTTGATTTCCTTCTATTGGATTTCTCAATTTGATATTCCGTTCGGAGGGTTCATATTATAGCTGACATGGTAATGTTGACAAGTGTTCTACAAGTTCTTAGATAATCCCTAAAATGGGAACTGACACAGATCCCTTGCCTTTGTCTTGAAAACTTGCAAACTAAGGTACTGTACACATTGACAACGCACATGTGCAAGAAACATTTGGAGTCCTGTATACACACGGCAACGGTTCGACAACATGTTGTCGAATGTTTACCAGAATCAGTGAATTTTGTAAGGATATTCGCAAATATGGGAGATAAGAACAGACGAAATTTAAAATACAGATTGAATTTGGATTAGCAATTAGTCAAACGAATTTCAGTTGTAGAATTCAAAATGATATTGCCAATGTTGTTAGTTCATTAAGGTAATACAGACCGTCGATTTGTTTAAAACAATTTTATTTGATTTGCAGTACAAATCTAATCATAGGAATTATTGAATAGCAAATGTGGCCATTTTGACACGCTAACTGTGATGCTATAGAGGTGAGAGACCAGCATGGAGCACGTCACCGAAAGAGTTGATACAGCAATTTCCCCAGGGATTACACATTGTCTACATCACTTGGATTCAGACAGATCATGTGATTTATATCCAATTTCTGACTGGATAAACATGGCATCTGGGAAACATGCTGCCAAAAATGTTGTGTGTGTGCAGTTTTTTATGTAGTTACTTAATAAAATGGATATAAAACATCAAGCAACTATTGATTCGAGAAACAGTAGATTGTTACCTTGAGCAGCGATAAATGTCTGTCCATAATAACCCTGTATTGAAAGACAAAAATAATATTTTAAATCTGTAACCGCTCGACTGTGTTTTACTGGACAATACTCTGGGCTAAGCCGTAAATGAAATTCATTTATACTGTGAAGACCTATTTGATTCATTTTAATTCGAGAGTTCTTCTTGTAACCCTCCTAATAGATCCGATGGATAATTCTATTTCCATCATGGTCAATTTGAATAAAAACTTACCTTTAAGAAGTTTGCGTTTATATAATCTGAGTGTGGATCACTGGCTACATTATTCAGTACTACCCTTGTAGCATCATCTGTAAAGTATAGAAAAACCTCTTCAACACAGTCAAAGCCGAGGATTCCTTATAGCTACAACATGAGACGACTCATTATCGCTACATGATAAGACTGCTCATAGCTTCGACATGATATAACTAAGAGCTGGTGTTTCCACGAAATTTCTTTTTAAGCATAGTTGGGTGTGCACTATCCAAGAAGCCAAACTTTATGATATGACCTGCATTGGAATATGATAAGACACTCGCACCAAGTGTCGTCAAAATCAGTCAAGAATTGTTTCTTCAGGAGTGTTAACGAGCCATTGTGGACGGACGGGTGGACATAAGTAACATACGCCTATATGAAATGGGGTTTTACATCCATGATATACATATTTATCTGAATATTAAACAAATACATACATGGATAATACCCTTTGAATCTGTTCTATTTGTGGTTTTCTGGTATCTGTGAGATATCGTAACTAGAAGAGAAGTTATCTGTCAATCCCTAAATAATAGATTTAAATATTATAATGTTTATAACATGTTTTTTTTTTTTTTGTACTTGATTTGTTTTAAATGTCAAAGTAGGTGTACCATATTTGCTATGCTGCTGATTTAAACATTATCTGATAATTGACATTTATATTTAAATTCTGACCAGAAAAGACATAGCCATAGCGGATCAATATACTCATACGCAGAAGACTTGAGTCAATGCATATATCAGTCGTGATGTCGATATTGATCGTTTTGTGTAATAATTATGTTTGGGGATAGAAGAGATATGCAGACATGGTAACAGAAATAAAGCAATCTGTTCTGGCACTGGTGCCTTATGTAATGGATCGAAACCGCCGTTCAGTTTAGTCTTCTTAACAAACTCTTCCAATTCTGTCAGGTTTAAATCTGATTTTTCTGGCATAATTTTGGGACTGATTTCAGCTTCTTCAGCCTTTAATGTCTCGGTTATTGAAAGATATTCCGGAAGATATGCAGCTTCGGATTCGTGTACGGTTACAAATGGTTGTAGGGCGTCAGTTGGTGAAAAAGGTTCCATCTGGTTAACTCTTCGTAGTGGTTTGACTGCTTCGTCTCTTATTACATCAAAGTTTTCATATATAGGACCTGAAACGTGTGCGGATCGTCCAGATAAATTTAAATTTACAAAAAGGGTTCTTTGGACTAGCAAACAATGATGTGGCTTAAATTGAACCCTAAGTAGGATAAAAGACCGGGAAAGTAGAGAACAAGGAAAGAGAGTTAGTTGGTAGAAGAGAGAAACGAAAAGGACAGTTAGCTGAGGGAAATGGCGAGAAATTATAGGCAGACAGAGTACAAAGAGGAACGGCGATGGGGTAAATGGGAAGAAACGGAGTTAGGAATTCGATTGGAAGGGTGATGGCAGAAGCAGCTAGACGGTTTTTAAGAAGAAAAGAAAATCGTTTGAGAAAAGAGACAGGGGAGGGGTAAGTCGTGTGGAGTAGAGAGTTTGGGTCATCAAGGGAAAAGTCAGTCGGCGGTGGGTAGATAGGTAGATTCAAAAGGGGGTATGCTCCAATATTGAGGTGCCTATTGACCTCCATTTAAACCTTCGAATTACTCTACTCCGAAGACTTATTATGGGTCACCGTTTTCCATCTCCCATTTAGGGGATTTTCAAGATTTCCGAGTGTTTCCTAATATTTAGTGGATTTAGCAAAATTCTCATGATACGATTGGATTCGCAGATCAACGTGATAAATTTTAATTTGGCTAATATTGGATCGCAAAAAGAGTTCTATGTGGCTACGTTCTAAAAAGATGGTCATCGAGGTTTCTTGAAAATATTATCAAATAGTAACAAAATAACTCGAATTAAGAAGGCCGAAATTCACTGGATATAGGTCACGACTTTAGAATAGTGTAGAGGGTAAAACCTTGTAGAAGTGGTCTAGCAGCAGCTATTTTACATTCCACAGTCTTGTCGTACTTTTCATCGTTAAAAGGGGGTGGTTTACGTATTCTCCTGTAAAATATATATCACTGTGATTTGTAGTTCATGTAGCCAACCTCGGATTAACAGCAATTCACAAAGGTCCTGAAAATCGACCATTTTATGCAATTGTGGTATTATTGGAATTCTCGATTATCTTGTTTTAATATAATTATAATTGGTCTTGTCTGAACTAATGATTTACTATAAACAGTTGGCTATTGGCCATATTTGCCTCTATGGTCAATATGCATTAAAAATGTAAAAAATTATTTTCTTTTCTATAACTGATTTTTGAGTGCTGTTTTTTCTGACATGTCCAGATAGTCCATGTGGATAATGCTGGACAATTTCAGCCTTGTAGCTTTGTGAGTGTTCACGCACAAAATTTTTTTGTGTTTGAGCACTTCTTGTGCACCAATATGCAGACTGGAAATGGCTACTTACTTCCCTTGAAAGATTTGCAGTTCCAGATTGGAAAGATATATTCAAAGATACCCAAATTAAAGAACATGATTTAAAAAGAACCCACCCGTATGTGCATATCCACATTTACTGAAAATCTTACCGGATGATCATTACAACTAAAACAACTAGAATGATGATTAGAAGAACACAAACGGAAACACAGGCCGCTATAATGATTTTGTCTGCATTTTCTGAAATACAAGTTAAACTTAAAGAAAACGGTTCACAGCAGTCCGGTGTCCTTTCAGTGGAATCGCTAGTGAGGATACAGGGGATAATTAAAACCAATTAAAACCAATTATTATATTAATACGGGGGACCTAAGGAACATAGGAGACGATAAACGATATTTTGTAGTCCCTCAAAAGATTTCTTTTGGAGACGAACGTGTTCTTTGTACATTTCTTAACCAATGGTAAAAGTTGATTAAAAAAACGAGCATATTATTGCAAAGAGATTAACTTTTAGTAAAAATAAGGTCAATTGCACCTTAAGGAAAAGATAATGTAATTCGTGATTTTCGTATTTTCAAAAGTTCCTCATTGTATCTAGAATCCATTAACGACCCTGTTACAATTTTAGAAAAACGCTTTTCAACCTATTTAAATTTAACCAAACTAACCTTTTGTGCAGGGTCAACAGAAGTGTTTCAAATTACAAGGTGGAACCTTATGCAGTAATTAAGTTCAAAATTTTACCTTGTGTACAATCTATCGACTGGTATCCTATTTGACATCCATCAATACATTCTCCTGTTTTACTGTCACATTGTAAATTATATCTTTACATATTCTATCTGAACATTTCTTACTACATCCTGCTCCATAAACACCATCTTCACATCTTTTAACACAGTCAATTCCCCCAAAACCTTCCTTACATCCACCTATACAGCTACCACTGATATGATTACATAGTGATGTTTCTACTGAACAATTTCTATCTGAACATTTCTTACTACATCCTGCTCCATAAACACCATCTTCACATCTTTTAACACAGTCAATTCCCCCAAAACCTTCTTTACATCAACCTATACATCTACCATTGACATGGTTACATAGTGATGTTTCTACTGAACAATTTCTATCTGAACATAGTTTTAAACATCCAGCACCATACTTCCCTTTTTTACAGACTACACAAGGTGAAAAAGAATAAATGTTTTATATTTTTAAATGTTATACATAATTAGATTATTGACAAATATCAGTGATCTTCGTGTCTACTCTATAGAACAAGAAGCGATAACTGAATTGTATTGCTGTATACACTTGTAAGCTTGTGTCTTTAAACTTGTTACTTAACTGTCCAAACTAAAAATATTCTACTGAATTTTATTCATATTTGAGTGCTTAAAGTACGTTACTTTGACTACAAGTACTTCCCATCCAACCATCAAAAGTTTGAAAAAAATTGGCCGTTTTAGTGCCGCAGGAGGAGGGGGGGGGGGGGGGGTGTCGCAGGCAGCCTATACAGTCTAGTTGCAAAGGTTAGGGTGAAGACCAAAACTTTAACAGGCTGCCCTGGGAAAACTATCAGAGATGTAAAGCTGAAATTTGGACTGCATCCCATCTGAAATTGTTATGTTCCAAATTTCATGTTCCTACCGTGCAAACTCTGCCTGCTGCAGCACTTTTAGTCTCAGACTTTTTCCCCAAACCAAAATATATGTTTCACCATGGTTTTATTGAATTTAATTGTGTATTTCCTAATTATAAGTATTTGGTATATACACTTGAGAATGGAATTAATTGAACAAATAATATGGTTTTATCAGAAAAACTCTGTTATATTTGTTTATCTTAAGGATTAGTTTATTAGTGTTAATCTCAGGATATATCTGCACTATTTATCAAGATTATCGGTAAGTCTTTATCGAAACTGATTTTGATAACATATCGTACGTTAAGGCGATTGCGCTTGTGTAGCATTGTAGGGGTTGTTCCTGTATTTAGTTAGTCAGGGAGTGTCTAGCTGGTCTGTACTGCAGGATGTTTGCATGTAATTTAGAAGAAGTGATCAAATCTTACAATTAACCAAAATGTATTGAATCACCACTTATTTATACTTATCATTGCATAATAGTCCTCATGGGTGTTTTTATTCTTCATTCAATCATGTAACATGGATCAACGTTATGAGCTTACTGTTTGTCACCAGTTGTTATATTACACAAGATTACAGGAGCTAGTTTATTAGTTTAGGAGTATATATACCACGGTTCTTACGACTTAACTACTTAAATGTATTCTGAGGGTATACAACTGAGGCGACACCATTTTATGTAAGCAATATTTTGATATATATCATGTTTTTAATATATAAACTAAGCTTACCATAAATCTCTACTTCACAAAAAACTAAATATTTGGCATGTGGATGAGGATGAAAATTACTGATAGTAATATAACGACCAGTTATAACCTGACTACACTCTATATTATTGACACTATATTTAGTGTATATGGTATCTTTATAACATATTCCTGGTTCTTCATTTTCCTTTTTAACGTGTAGGGAAATTCCATTAAATGATGTTAAAGCTGAAAATATATTTTGGGCAACAATAATATACTTTTTTGTGGACCCGTGCCTCGGTTATTCGCTTCTATTTTCTATTGCATTGAGAAAATCGCATCATACACGTTAACGACATTGAGTCCGGAGTATAAAGAGAATAAGTCAAAAACAGTGCGATCGGCTTATCCTGTTCTGTTATTATATTAAGCTAATTCCTGATTTGATATTATTTTGTGTTGAAGTCGATCCGTTTTGTTTTCTTTCAATATTTTAACTTATATAACCTTTCTACTCACTCCAGCTAGTTGAAACACAACAGAAAATTTTCATTAAAATGTTAATTATTATTTTATATTGTGTGATACTATGAATGGTTTCTTTTTTTTTACTAATTTCTCAATTAAAGATAGCTTGCCAGGCAAGGTAACATACGCCCACTGGCAGCTGTCAGAAATGATAAAACACTCTTTAGGGACTTAAGTATGAATTTTATTAGTATGAATTTTCTCATATTAAATAAATTTAATATTAATATCAATAACCCAAATACATCAAATTATCGTATCAATATACATGATAACACCATGTTTCATTAAAATCAGTCTCTAATTTTGACTTCACGTTTAAATTCGCGTGAAATTCTCAACAACCACCATCCTTCTTCTATCAAACTAACCGCAAACGTGAGTGACAAAAGCATAGACTTTCTCGACGTTTCTTCTATGTATACCAATATCGATAACACTGGTCTAACGGCAGTTCGTAAAGCTTTTAATAAAAACCCAGATCCAAACAGACCCGACGAAGGAGCTCTTGTGCAAGAGTTGATGAGTATCTGTTTCTTTGAAATACACTTTAATATCCAGTTTATTTGTTTCTGCTATGGAATCTCCCTTAAAGACAGTGGTATGATAGAAATTAAAATAGCATTAGAGGGAACTCGAAGATTTTTTTATTTTATTGACAAAATCGGTTGTGTCTTTAAGGTAGGCGCGATGTTGGCATGCTAGAGGTAGTAAGAAATGATCAATGTATTCTGACACTGCATATGATTCACTACCACAGTCAGATATAATCGGGCGGCCTTTAGGGAT